TGAGCCTTTCGAAGACAGTCGGCCTGATCGCGGTGGCACGATTCGGTCGTAGAGTGCTCGTCAGACCATCGTTGTTCAGGGGCACGGCTGGAGAGAAGTCGTCGTTCCACAAATCAGGAAGAGACGGGCGGCCAGGGGCCGACCAGTCGTCGGCGGGTTTGGGACCGGGGCTGTGCAGGGGCGAGGGTCACGGCCGGTGTGCAGCCACCGGGGCCAATCGGCGCAGATTGGTCACCGCCGCCAGGTCGTGTCGATAATTACCGACTAATTCCACGCTCCCTTTTTACTGCATGCTGCGCGGACCACTTTCGCGTGCGCGAAGTGTTTTAACGAGCCGACGTGTCCGTGCAGCTCCAGGCGGTCCGCGAACGCCTGACGGCCGGCGCAGGCCGTCTCACTGGCCTCCACGCCAGCGGGTCGGGGCCGCAGTGGGTCACCGGCTCAACGTAGTTGCTGAGAAGACCGAGCTCCCCTCGGTTCTCGGGTCAGGCTAAATTTCGACTGAAGAGGGAGAGGTATAAGTGTCGGTGTTTGAAGTCAGTTGCTGAGTCCAGGGATGCCTGGGTCCTTACATATCATCCTCGGACGGTATTACCTCGTCACTGTAGTTCCGCAAGCGGCCGTTACTTCCTCAAGCTCAGCTTCAGAGAGTCCGGAGTGTTGCCAGTGCTGGGATCGAGCTTCCCTTAAGGGGCTTGGGTCGGCATCAGCCCTCGGGCGAAGTTCGGCTGGAGAAGGACTGGACCGCCGTCGGTTCCTAAGCGGGCTCGACTGGGACTTGGCCGACGTCGGTTCCTGAGTCCTTGGACGCAGCTCAGCTGGGAGGGGTCGGGGCCGCGGCAGAGATCTGACCGGACCTCGCCCGTGCCGAGGTCGCTTCTTACCGCCGCCGGTCGCCTTGAGCCGGCAGCGGCTGTTTTTCCCGGGGTGGGGGCAGGGGTCCCGGTAACCCCAGCCACAGCGCGAGGTCACCCTGGACAGGCAGAGAGGCCGGAAGTTGGGCTCGGCTCGGCTGCGCTCGCAACCAGGTTAATGCCATCGCCCCGCTCTTTGTGTGCAGGAGCGGGCAAAAACAGTGCTGATTGATATACTATGCGCCCGACAGGAAACGGCTGTTGCACTGAATGCCGGCGAGACCAGGCATTCGTCCGCACCTAGGCGGGCCGCTGAATAGCCGGGCGCGATCAGAAATCAACACCGAATCAGAAGAAATGATAGGGGTCAGGCTTTATCGACCGTCGGAGTGCTCATGAAGGGTCGTTGGCCTTTTTTGTGCTGTATGACTGGTGCAAAGGAATGGCTCCAAAACGGCACCTTACGGTCCGGAGGAAGAAAGGTGTCGGCGTTTAAACGAAATGCCCCATGCCGACGTCACAAATCTCCGCGTGAAGAGTGGCGTGAAACGAGCTCTGCAGTTAGTGGGCGGCGCGGACTGCCGTCGTGTGCCTCCCGATGGCGAAAGCCTGTCGAGTGCGTGACGACCCCCGCCGAGCGGTGTGTGGCTTACTCTGAGCGGCCGGCCGACGCCGTCCCAGCCCCAGCGACGCGGTGCTCTCTCAATTACCATCGGCTGTGATGTAGCCGCTACCCCGCTGAGGCAAATGGTGAACCTTGTGACCACGCCGGGAGATGGGCATGCCGGCAGTGTATGGCTCTTGTCCGGAAATCCCACGTGAAGGAGGTGGGTGATGGCAGTACGATACGGCTGGTCTGGCTGGCCAAGTATGGCCCTGTGCAGCCGGCGCTGCCAGCTGGGAGCGCCATCTGGCGTCATCTGTCCGCTGCTAACGACTGCCGGCAATCTCTTCATTTCAGCCGCTGCCCGTGAACCATGCTGGCCGATAAGGTGCCAATTGACGGAACGCCCCAGGCCGATGCACCTGCCGTGTTGCACAAGTCGGGCCCAGTCCGAGACACGACCGTCCACGATCGCGAGGGGCGAGAGTTCATCTAGGGGCCGCTGCCGGCACGCGCCGGGGAGGGGCCCGCTGGCGGCGGCCGGCGCGGCCAGACAGGTGTGGCCGTTTTTGCGGGCGCGGCACGTCGGCCACTCGTGGCCGTTGGACAGTGGAGTGGCGTCTGTGTGCCGCTGACCGTTGGGCGCGCTGGTCTTCTTGTGGCCTCTGCGGCACCGTCCGCAGTCCCTGCCCGCCGTAAGGCAGGTGGGCGGGCCCACGCTGCGGCGGCAGTGCCCCGCCGTCCGGCCTGCCCGGCCGGCGGTGATCCCAGCCGAGCCGATGGTATCGCAGCCTCCTCGGATGTCGAACGACGTCGTCATTAGCTGGCGCGCCCCCTCCGCTGCACGCTTCTCCTGCTGTCCGGGTAACGAGCGGCGGCGAACCTGACCCCGCTTGACCCCCGCCGGCAGTCACAATCAGCCGTCGCTCTTTACGGTCCCGCCGCCCTGGTCCAGCCGGGTCGGATCTCTCCGCTCTCTGAGCGCCGTCCGCCAGCGCCGAGCAGCGTCTTTCAAACGCCGTCGCCTTGTGTAAACACGGCACACCCAATGGCATGATATCCGCACGGGAGGAGGAGGCGGGCGTCTGTGCAGCTTTCTCCCGGCCGGCGGAATGGATCCCAAGCCGTGTCGAGCTGGCGGAGGACCGATCTCAGCGTGCCGGAAGACCCGGCGCGGAGACGCCGCCGCCGACAGCCGGCGGGGAGGCGCAGGATGGCGCGCGGGAGCCGCGGACAGGTGCTGGCAGGCGGCGGCCGATCCGCGGCGATAGTAGAGCGCGACGTGGCGCGCGGGCTCTGTGGACAGGGCCGGTCGTTACTCACTGTCCGCCGGCGCGGTGTCCGGACCACGACAGGCGCCCGTCAGGCCGAGCCGATCTGTCGAGGCTGGTCTGGTGTTGACCGCGCAGTGTCTGTCGGAGGTGTCGGGATTCACCCGCTGCGCACTGCGCGTTACGCAACGCAGCCGCCGTCCCATAAAGTTTGTTGGATTGCAAACAGTTGACTCGGAGCGGAGTGCAGAGGAAAACAGTGGGCCTTTCCTCAGTGGGGTATGGGGGGGGGGGGGGGTTGTTTAAGTGCAGAAGAGTGGAGGGCGGTTAACACTGCAAGACAGCGTAAAGAGAGTCGCGCGTAGATCACTCATATTTCGAGACAGAAACATGCATAGCAAGGACAGTTGACCAAGATGCTACTACAATCCAAAAGAAGGACATACAAACCGTTTTTTTTAATGTAACGCCCTTCCGTGTCTTTCGTGACTGCCGGCCATCCGCTCTCGACGTTACGTCACCTTCAATTTAGGATGATTTGAACTGGACCGCACATGAATGCATGCACGGCATGGGTAGGCAGGTCTGTCTGAACGTATGCGGCTGTTTTCCGAACCCGGAGAGCCCAGAGGAGCGTGACAGGACGAGGCAACACGGCCGTCACGTCCGCTCGAGCTCCATACCTGTGACGGCCCGGGTGAGCGTGTGATGCGTGTGCGTTGCGACAATGCGGCGCGTGATGCGCGTACATGAGGGCTCGTCGCTTTGTTTGAGGCGCGGTCCAGCGCGGCTGGGTATGCAGCCGTCGCCGTGCGCCCACCGCGGTCCGCCAGCCGAGGTCCGGCGCTGCTCGCAAGGGCAGCTCACGTTGTCCACTGACTCACGTTTCAGACTCTCCGACTGTCGGACAGTGCTGGGCCACGGTCAGCGTGCCTTAACAGGAAGCGCGGGCTCGGTCAGCGTGCCTCAGCAGGGAGCGCGGGGTTCGGTCAGCGTGCCTCAGCAGGGAGCGCGGGGCTCGGTCGGTGTGCCTTGGCAGGGAGCGCGGGGCTCGGTCAGCGTGTCTTAACAGGGAGCGCGGTGCGGTGGGTGTCGGATGAGGCCTCCTCTCCCCTGTGCGCTCCCCCCCCCCCGGCGTCTGGCATTGCTCCTGCCGAGCGGCACGGTTGCCCTCATCGCGCTCTCCTCCCCTCCGCCGTTGTCCGAACAGGCGGCGACCGTGGGTGTCGGGTTCAGCTGCGGCCGTCGCCAGACCCCAGCGCCTCTGCATGCCCGTTCTGTGGAACGACGCCCGCACGAGCACGCCTAAACGTTCCCCAGGGGGGTGACGGTTAAGATTGCTATCGCGAGAGGTGCCACCAGCTGCCGGCTGATGATTAGAGGCTGCGCCGCATCAGAAAGTGGCCAGAGGAGCCCGCATTACGCATGACCTGACTGGCCGGCCGCGGCCTGTCGGCTGTCCGACCCGGGCCGCCGGCCGGCCGCGGCTGTCGGCTGTCGCCCGAGCTGCCGGCCCCGCGGCCTGTCGGCTGTCCGCCCAGCTGCCGGCCGGCCGGCCGGGCCTGTCGTCTGCCGCCCCTCCGCCGGCCTGCGGCCTGTCGGCTGCCTGCCCAGCTGCCGGCCGGCCGCGGCCTGTCGACTGGCCTGCCCCGAGCCGCCGCCGGCTGCGGCCTGTCGGTGGCCGCCCAAGCTGCCGGCCGGCCGCGGCCTGTCGGCTGTCCGCCCGAGCCGCCGGCCGGCTGCGGCCTGTCGGCTGGCCGCCCGGCCGCCGGCCGGCCGCGGCCTGTCGGCTGTCCGCCCGAGCCGCCGGCTGGCCGCGGCCTGTCGGTGTCCGCCCAGCTGCCGGCCGGCCGCGGCCTGTCGGCTGTCCGCCCGAGCTGCCGGCTGGCCGCGGCCTGTCGGCTGTCCGCCCAGCCGCCGGCTGGCTGCGGCCTGTCGGTGGCCGCCCGGCCGCCGGCCGGCCGCGGCCTGTCGGCTGTCCGCCCGAGCCGCCGGCCGGCCGCGGCCTGTCGGCTGTCCGCCCGAGCTGCCGGCTGGCTGCGGCCTGTCGGCTGTCCGCCCGAGCTGCCGGCCGGCCGCGGCCTGTCGGCTGCCCGCCCGAGCTGCCGGCCGGCCGCGGCCTGTCGGCTGTCCGCCCAAGCTGCCGGCCGGCCGCGGCCTGTCGGCTGCCCGCCCCGAGCCGCCGGCTGGCTGCGGCCTGTCGGCTGCCCGCCCCGGGCCGCCGGCCGGCCGCGGCAGACCGCGGTGCTCAGAGTCGTCACTTGCCCCCAGGTGTGCGGCCACCGCTGGATGAATCAGCTGTCCAAGAGCAATCATTATGGCAACGGCGTCTGCTACTGGA